ATTTCTTGTTTTAATTAGTTTTTTTTATTTAATTCTTTAATTAATTATTTTCATAATAATATAAAAAACACAAAAAAATCAGAAGGCCATAAAAATTAAAAAATATACTTTATTTTAATATTTTGTAAATAAATATTATTCATTAATTTTAGCTATTAAATTAGGTTTAATTCAAATATTTTTCTAATAACCTTAAAATTTGTAGAATTAGGTTTTTATTATTTTTATTCTTTTTTTCTCTTTTCCACCATAATTGATTATTGAATATTATTTTTTGTAATTAAATTACCATGTAAATAACTAGATTAATTTTAGGTTTAACTTTAACATGTTTTTCTTAACAAATAAAAAATTAGAATTAGGGTTAATATTCTTTTCATTTAATTCACATAAAGAAACCATAAATACCAAAAAAAACTAAAAATAATAATTTCTTTTTCCTTAATTGAATTAATTTATAATAATTTAATTTCACTAAAAAGGGTCCAATGCCCTCGCTTTCAATTTCAATTCAATTCGCGCATTTTATTTTACTTCCTTCTTATAATATTTATGTACCTCTCCCAAAGCCATGTAAATACTTATCTTTCGTACTTTTCTTTATTTACTTTCTGTCAAATCGGGTCCTGGATTTTATTTTGGCGATGTGGACCCGCGCCTTTGTAATAGTTTAGAACTTTACATTTCTCGCAATTTTTTAACTGTTAATAAATGCATGCAAGAATGAATGGCCTAAAATAAAAACAAACGCATAGATCACTTTGACATGACAAGACAAAAATAAATGAATCTGGCACACAAATCACACACCACCCCTAGGGTACGCCTCACTGTTGCCTTGCCTCGAAAGGTGATCGTCGAGTAGAGGATGTCTTAGTAAGTCCTCATGATCCGGGAACCTGGCATGAGGGTAGCTTCTAAGGTATCTTCCCATTGCTCTGGTGATCACCATGTCCCGAACCTCGAATTGACCCGAACAACTCCAACGGTGGTGCTACCTACCTCTCAATGGTGGGATGGCACTACTTTAAGGACATTTACACAGACGAATTCCTTAGGGTAGGTAGACGACTCTAGATACTTGCTCTAAATTTCAAAAACAAAATCAAAAAATACTTTTCACACCGACACCTTTTCAAAAAGCTTTCAAAAGCATTTTTTCAAACACTCTTGAGGACCGATACAAGAGTCGAACTGAAATTTTCAAAGAAACTTTTTTTTAAAACCCACAGTTGAAAAGCAAACAAACCATTTTTGAAAACACAAATGAGCAAGTATCTAAGAGCCCATGGATAACCATGGATAGAAAGGGTGCTAACACCTTCCCTTTCTATAACCTACCTCCCGAACCGAGAGCAATCTCTTTAAGGAATTTTTCTGTGCTTTTGTCCTTTCCATTTGGAGAAAATAAAAGACGGTGGCGACTCTTGCTTCCACGACATTTCGCGAACCAGCATTAAACAGTCAGTTCCAGATCCACCGATCACACTTAGGGTTTGGGAGTATTTTTCGGAGTACTTTGTTTCTGTGATGTCACTCATGTATCATGGAGATACATAGAGTTTGACTGATTGTTTATTGTTCATTGTCATTCAGTCATTAGATTTTAAGAAAATATTGAATTATTTATAATTGGAAGTGTGGTCTTCTGTTCTATTCTTTTGTTATTGTCAGTGAGGTGACTATGGGAAGTGAAAGGGTGTCCTTGTATCTAGGAGGTTCATAGGTAGAAGTTGCATAAGGTAATGATTAGGTGATAAGTTGTAAACTACAATTGTTTAGATTTGAAATAATATTGTCATAGTGGATTTCCTTCCTGGCTTGGATGCCTCTAGAGTATGTGATGTTGCACTGAACTGGGTTAACAATTGACTGTGTTATTTATGTTCTGCAATTTACTTTCTGCATAACTAGTATCTTCTGTAAATTGTTGTATCGGAAACATGATGTCTTAACATTTGTGCTGACATTGTGTTTTGGTGTTGTTACATTTGTCTTAACATCTAATTTGAGAGTGTCGGAATTTAATAAAACATGGCTAAGTAAAGAGAATCCCATCATGAGAAATAAGTGGTGGGATACCCGCTTAGTTATATTTCATGTTGTTCTTTTTTTCATATTCATATATGTGAACTCACATGTATAAGATTCAGTGTATATTAGGTATACAATTCCTCATAAAAAATAACATCACTAAAAGTCTAAATTGTTTGTTCATTTGTGATTATTGGCAATAACGAAAAAAATGGGGCATAGCCAACGTTGTTGGCGATCGACACCAAAATTTAAGGGTGCTATCATAAACACTTTATACACCTGGCTACAACAATCATTCTCCCACACACCTTGTGCATCTTCATATTTCATGGGTGCTATCAGAAATAATTTATACGCCCGACTATAACAATCAATCCCCTATAGTGCCTTGTGCACCTTTAGAATCCAGAGGAGTTGTCTGAGACGTTTTACACATCTGACTACAATAATTAATTCCTCTAGGGGTGCTATTGGATATGCTTTGTACGTTCAAATATGTTAATTATCTATTTTTATGATTGACATTAATTTTCGTAAAACTAATTTGGCAGCAACATGTTAAATAGGATGCTCTAACTTGCAGAAAAAACATGTTAGACAAGATGTCATATCCAGATCATTCGACATCGTGTCTGTTACAGCTGTGCACTTGGGTATATTTGGTTATAATAGATTCTGAATATTATGTTATCCTATGTGGCGTACAAGGCTGATGAATCAGAGATTTTATTTGAATTTAAAAGACTATTTTGTTTTTCTAAATGTTGAGACATTTTAGGAAACATTACATTGAAGGCCTATTTTTATGCAGAAGATTCTGCAGATATTTAGCAGCAGCCCTGTTGCGTTTTTGAAGCCCAAAATCCAGGCCAAGCATTGCTTATAAAAGGAAGTATATAAACCTAAAGAAGATACGAGTTGCATATGTAAAATTGTCAATTATTAGAACTTCGTTTATTCATTGTTAATTGTGAGCCATTCTCGTATTTTTTATGCTTGAGTTTGACTGTTAGTTGAGTTGTAATTGTGAATCACTTATAAGCTTTTACGTAGTAGTTGATTATGTTTATTAGAAGTGTGTCTTATTTCATTGTCATTGTTATTTCATCACTATTGTTATTGAAAGGAATTGAGAAAGGTCTCATACCTAGGTGAGTCTTAGATAGAAGTTAAGCACGGGTAGTGATTAGGTGAGTAAATTGTAAACTGGAGATAGTTTGTTGAGGATCTACAAACTGATATTGTTTAGTGGATTTTGTCCCTGGCTTGGTAGCCCCTAGAGTAGGTGTTGTTTTACAGCAAACTGGGTTAATAACTCTGTGTGTTCTTTTAATTTCAATACTCTAAATTATATTTATTGTGTCATTGTGTTTTGATCAGATATCAGTGTCTCAACATATCTTAGGACATCTGATATCTGCATACCAAAATTTCAAAATACAACATTTAAGTACCCCCTGTCAAAGAAATACACGCTTTCACACGTATTTGGTGCACCCCCTTCTGATCTAGTCGGTCCAAGGGTGAGCGCAGTGAAGCCTGTAAACGTTCACCTTGATCTGAGCCTTCACATCGGGGACATGGACATGAATCCTCTACCTTTGGCTGGTTATGATCCTTTGTAACGCAAAGCACAATTCAAAGCATGGTTGCATCTAGAAGGGTTCATGTCCGTCATTTGTAAGTATAATTAAAAACATAACCACAATTAACTAAACTCATGCCTTGTCATATAAACATGATTAAGGAATAACCATGTCTAGCTGGTTTGGTGTGAAATACTTACATGTACAATTAAGAGCATAAACGACTAGACTCGAGCTCATATTCCACCAATGATTACCCGACATACGGACACATCAAACTGTACCAATGCTTCCTCTATGCAAATTCCTTTTGAGTACAAATGCGCACTACTACCTCAACATTTCATCAAGGCGATACATACAACTTAACGTAGCACACTCTTAAGAGAAACAACCACACAAGCATTTCACAGATACTTAAATTCATTTATAATTTAAGCAAATATCATTTGCTACTCCATGTAGCAAACAAACTATGCAAATTGCCAAGACTAAAAGCAAGCCCTAGCTGTTTGTGGATCCTAGTTCTTCTCAGGTCACAACCGGCTAATAACAACAAACAAATAGTCAATTATATAAAAAACATTGTTAAGGTACCGAGGTACAAAATCCAAGTGCATACTCCAACTCCCAATTACAAACATTATCATGACGAGATAGTTCAACTCCTAGAAGATGAAGTGTACACAACTTAACACTACTCGCCCGAAAATAAAATAGCTGACACAAAGCAAGGTTATTTATAATTTGACATTTTTCCTATAATAGTTTTCGTGGCAGCGAGTTTTTATAAATTAAAGGCGTATAAAGGGACCATGACACACGAGGTGAAGCTAGATCTAAAGTAGAAAAATCCATTTTAAACAGGAACGACACAAAACTTCACTAACAACGAAGACTCATTACAATCACAATTAAAAAAAGAAAAAAAGGAGCGCAGAAGGGCACAATAGCCATATTCAAGAATAGAGACAATTCGACCATCTTGAACAACTTGGCCTTGACGGATTTTCTCTATCTAAACAACCTGTGATCGATGAAAATTATCTACTTTTGTAGTGAATTTTCAGAAGACTCCACAACCTCCCCAAGATTCACAGAGACAAAATATTTCAATTGTTGAGTCATGGAAGCATTTTGTTTGCATAAGAAGTCGAATTCTATCTAAACAAATCAAAGAGCTTTGGCCCTCTCCTCCAAAATTCTCGACATATGCATCACATGATCACTGGTAGTACTAGGAAGGTTGAATGGAGCCAAATCTTAACAAACCTCTTTTAGAGAAGTGTAAGCCTTTCGCAGATCCCTTAAATAAGTATCTCGTTGGGAGGTCAAACTGTTCACGCTCCTCTTTAGTCAGATCCTTTACTCATGTTCCTAGTCTGTCCAAAGAGCTTCATAGCAGCCGGATCCAACCAGAGATAAAGTGACATAAGCCCATTTAGCATAATGGGCCAGAGTGTTCAATTCCTTCCGTAAGGCCTGCCCATAAAGGCTAGAAAAAAACACATAATCATCATCAAAGAGTGAATCACGGTGATCACGAGAAGGACCATGGCGAGAGTCGCGATCCACATGTGAGCCTAGAAGAGCAACATTTTGAGAAAGTTTTGGGGGAGGAAGAAGATTTGCAACATGGCCAGGTGATTGTATTCCCCACTTTAAGAACCAAACCATTACTTCATCCTCCATTACACATGTAAAAAAATACTACCATTATTTCGAGACGAGTATAACGAAGGGAAATCATCGATGAAGAATAAAGGGAATTATAAGCTAACCAAAGGCAGTCTGACAACCTTCACGAGAATGAGACTCCATCAATAGGGAGACATATATCAAACATTGCAGGAGCTTCTTACCATCCTCGTGTGTGGGGACTACTCCCCTAACATAACACAAGCGACTAACAAAATCCAACACCTTCTTCTTCTTCTTAAAAGAATCCTCGACAATAAATTTATTTTCTCCATAAGCATAAGGAGCCAATTTCCAAAAGAAAGTGCTTCGCCGACCAACAATGGGGAAACAATGGCTTTCATTTACCTTCCACCCTGAATCAACCTCATGGACAGTTGCATGAGCCCGTGGATTAAATAGGCTAACCAAAAAGAAGCGATCCACAAAAGACGATGGCTCAGGAAAAACTTCAAAAACCCGTATAGTCAGCACCAAAATAACCAACTCCCACTCATTTAGCCAAGCTAAAGTACTCTGGTTGCAGTGGAAGAGATGAAAGAATGAAACAATAGAGGTTTTCCTTTCAAATACTCACACCAGCACTGCTAAGCCTTAACATACGCCTAACTAGTAGGATGAGGTTGAGATGGGGCCATCATCAAATAGTTGAAAACACCAACTTCAAAAATGATAAAGGAAAACGAACCCCCAAAGTAGAAAAGAGATACTCATATAGAGGAATTGTACAATTATCATACTCGTTACAAATTATTTGTTCAGCAGTAGGGATAGTAAGCCCCCAAAGTGACAATTCAACCATATTAGAAAAGGATCCATTTAAGTTCCCCTATCTGGTAAAGATTGAGACCATCAAAGAATATATGGAACCTTCACTCGAAGATGACGGGTTCACCAGATTCCTTTTCATAACTTTCTAAGATCTTTTTACCATGTTGTGTTAACAAATTCAAGAACGGGAAATAAATGTTTCAGAGGAGAAAAAGAAGTAACCGTTTGTTGTACCCCAAAATTTTCCCTCCCTTTTTCACAAGAAATCACAACCCTAGGGTTTTCTCAGATTTTCAAAGATTGGCTCAAGAATCGATCAAACAGACTTTTCTTTGGCAGTAAATCAAGAATTAGGGTTTTCTCTCGCATTTCTCAGAAGAAACATAACTCTCAGAAATTCAATTAACTATCACATGTTTTCACACTTTTTCAAGTTTGCTGAAAGGTTACTGATGGTTCTCAAGGTTTGTTTATCTGAAATAAGAACTGAGATGGTCATGTGGAATATTCAGGTTTTGTCTGATCCAGGTTAACCAGATGATATCGTCTGTTAAGACGTTTGCTTATTAATGGAATTCATGTTTGCTTGTTTGTTGGAATGCACAATGCATATTTTGATTGGAATGTTGTTGCAAGGTTACGAGATTGCAGAGTTATTGGATTACTTAAAGTTTAAGTTATCTGTATTAAAATTATTGGAATGCAGTTTCAGTTATTTTAAATCAGGAATTTTAAATAATAAATGAAGACTTGAAAGAAGAATTGCAAGATATTGGACAACAGAAGATTTTATTGAATGTCAGATTGCCTCACAAAGATTTTTCAGATGTTGATACAAAAATAATTTATTATTTGAATACGGTATGTTTTACAACTTATAGTATTTTAAAAAATAAATGATTACAATAAATGGAAAATCTAATCTAAGCCTAAGCTCCCTCACTCCCATGCTCAAAGTCTCCGGCTTCTTCTGCTTTGTCACCGACCAATTTGTGCTCACATGAAAAACATAAAGGAAAAGGGATTAGTACAGTCAGTTGAATATGAAAAGAATTTTCAAATTAAAAAAAAAAAGAAAAGGAAATTGTTCTTCATTAAAATTTGTCGTCTAGAATCAGGAGTGCTATTTTTCATCACTTTTTATTTTTCTCTTTGCAAATCACAAGAAGATTGCTCTTCTTGGTTCACAAAGAGAAAAATAAAAGTGCAAAAGAAGAATGCAAACAAAGCAAAAATTATTCAAATGCAACAGGCGCCAAACTGTACAAACAGCACAAGCGAGGTGCCAAGCATAGGCCAAATTGTCAAGCTGCATTACAAAACAAAGTAGGCAAACTGAAACATAACAACATTACAATGCATTACATGACAGGAACCTGATGTAACAAACAGCACAAGCAAGGTGCCAAACTGAGCTACAAAGCACAAAGCGCCAAATTGCATTTACAAAACATAAGCAAACTGAACAAAATAAATTGGATGCAAATTGTACAAATGCAGCAAGTACAATGCAGCAGGATGGCAGTAAAAGGCAAGAGGTAGTCCAAAATCACAAGTCAAAGACTTGTCACAGCTTTTCATCATTTTCCAATCAAAGGGCAAACTTTTCAGAAAATAAAAAAGACAAAAAGCAAATTTATTTTGTCATTGAGAGAGAAAGAGAGAAAAGGGAGCACCTTTTTAGTATTTGTACAGTTGGCTAAAAAAATGGATCAAGAAATAATACCATAAAAACAGCAAGAAGAAAAAGCCCAACGGTTTCAAACACAAACCATAAGTCCCAGCCTGCTAACCAAAAGTAGAGAGAGATGTTATAAGACAAAACTCCAAGCCAAGCCTGAACACAAGTTAAAAAACTGCAATAAAGCTCCCAAGCCTGAAACCACAAAAACTGCAATAACCACAAAAACCCTTAACAAACCAAAATTGCAACAATACTCAAAAAAACTTGTAGCAGTTTCATCACCGCCCCAAACCTGTTACAAAAACTGCATAACCAAATTGCAATAACCACAAAAACCCTTAACAAACCAAAACTGCAACAATACTCAACAAAACCCTGTAAACCATAACCAGTTCCCAAACAGCAAATTCCAAAACCTGCACAAGCTTGCCAAACTGTAAAACTCAAGGTTTCAGCAAACTATCATCACAAACCATTACCCAAACAACAGAGCTTCAAACAAACTATAACAAAATCCTGCATCATTGACCATCAACAACTTATACAAACAAGTTTAGAACAATAAACAACCATCCCAAATCCAAACCAACAAACTCAGTTCAACAATAATCATCAAGGTTTCCTCATCACATTCAAAATCAAGAAAGAAGAAGGAGTTTCAGAAAACATTTGATCATCATCAACATTCAAAAAACCAACAAAAATCAAAAGTTTCAGACATAGCAACAAGTTTCAGAAATATTTCATCATCAACATCAACATTTAGAAGAGAGGAAAAGAGTTTCAGAAGCAATAACAACAAGTTTCAGAATTATAATCATCATCAACATTCAAGTTTTAAAGAACAAAGGAGAAATACCAGAAGCACGCTTGGCCATCATCCTCTCCTCCGCCTCTGGCCACCAAGGAAGTGCCGCCCGCTCGAACCTCTTCCCTCTCCCTTTTCCAGAAAATCTCACAGGTATATATCTCTGCATCTGAAACGTGAACAATAGATTAACAAGCAAACGTGAACAATAGATAAGTAATCAAACAAAAAACGTTCAAACTTCAAGAAATCAGAACCATACCGTTCAAAGAAGTAAAAAATCATTTGCACTTAGAATGAGAGAGAGGTTAAAGAGTGAGGGATAGCGTTCCGGCAACCTTAGGTAGGAGGAGAATCAAGCGTTTGAGGCGCTGAGAAAGATGAAGAGAAGAAACGAGAGAGAGAGAGAGAGAGAGAGAGAGAGAGAGAGAGAGAGAGAGAGCGGTGCCACTGTAAAACACACAAATCCTAACTTTCCCCAAACCCTAAATTGTTCACAAAATTCTGAGACCCCAACCAAAAAATGTTACAAAACTTGTGAGATGGGCCTGTCCGCCCCAAACATGCTTAAGCCCATAACCCTGCTGGCTCACACCCCCCATTTTTCCATTCTGACCCCTTGTTCTTCTTTAGTTTTTATTTTGGGCCCAATTCTTAAATCCATAGCCCATCCTTCTTTTTAATTTCTTTTCTTTTGTTTAAACAAATACTTGTTTTTTTTATTAATTCATTTTATTTTAATTTGTTTTCTTTTTAAGTTAATAATAAAACTAATAATAAAAACTTTGATTTTCTTTAAAAAAAATAGTTTAATTAAATAATCTTGCTTTATTTAATAAAAGTACAAAATAATAAAGAACATTAATTTAATTAATTTTTCTTCCTTCAAACTTTTTATCCACATAACTAATAAAAAACACATACAAAGAATAATAATAATAATTCTTAATTTTTTAGAATAGAGTTTATTTATCTTTGTTTTAACAAATACATGCATTTCATAATTGATTGATTTTCTTTTATTTTATAATTTGTTATGGTTTTACTTTGAATTGTGACAAATTCGATTTGGTTGTAACACTTGATATTTGGACATTGTTATCCTTGTGAGATTCATCCCCATTTGTAATAATTTGTACCCCTATCCCCAGATACTTTTGTAATAGCTTAGAATTTTAATTCTCGCACTTTATGCTTTCAAATATTCCATGATTAGAGATTAGGGTTTGTATGCGAAAATCTGAAATCAATCGCTAGATGACCTAATACAAAACCTAAATGCATGAAAATGACAAACACAATTCACACGTGCACCTCTAGGGTAACCTCGCTTGTTGCCTCGGAAATGCAATCATGTCCCTCGAATATGAGATACTCTAGCAAATGCCCCTTCGATAAACAAAGATCATAGTCCCTCGATGACCCTCGATGTTGCCTTCGATAAAACGATCTCGTCCCTTACAAAATTGCTAGAGCGTCTCACAAGTTGCTTTCAATGATTGTATGCGATGACCCGCGCTTGTCCCACTTAACATCCTAATACAAGGTTGTTTACCAAATGCAATGGTAAAACAACATTGTCAAAAGGGTTAAAAACATACAGGAAAGATCTTTGAGTAAAATAGGGTAGATAACTCTTAGTTACTTGATCAAAGCTTGCAAAACATCCTTGTTATTTTCAAACACATTTCACAACACAATTTCCCAAAAACAAACTTTCAAACATTGAAA